CTGAGTCCAACCAAAGCGGTGAGGTGATCTACTTGTCTCGGTATTCTCTCAGCCATCACGTATCTTACATTATTTCTTATCTGCTCCCTAACACTACTACAATTATCTCCAATATGTGTAGTAACAACAGCTATTACTACACAAATTTGAAGCATTATCTCTTCAATTAGTAAAAAAATTTCTGCCCTGCGCCTTGAAATCCCTGGCATTATGTTTGATTGGGAAACTGCAATTATTCAAATTTAAATACAGCATAAAAATTTTCGTTCTACGTTCTTCTACATTGTTGTAGCAAATTACAGTATAGACAACAAAACATGTTGTATAGAGATCAAAAAAATATCTACAAAAATGCAAGCAATTGGAGTAATAATCAGCGATATGAAAAAGTCCAGACAAATAGCACACAAAAACGAAGGAAATGAAACATACTATTCGAACAAAATGGACATAGAACCAATACGTACACTTTACCCTGGGAAGTAACCCGACACCAACGAGACGTCAATTATCGGCTTCAGTAAGTGCTGGTTCAAAAATTGGGCGAAAGGACCGAAAGTCAGCGAAATTCAACGAAGTGAAATCGAAAAGACGACACAAAGTAACACAAACATGAGATCTATCAAAAAACGAACTGTCATTCAACGATTTATCGAAAAAAAATAGCAAACGTTCAGCTCGCGTACCTTCACGTCGTGGAGGAGCAGCGGAGCTGAGGGTTTGTAGAGATATAAATGGCAGAGCTCATATCGGTTTCTAGGTTTTGATTTTTTATATGAGGGCAATGTAGTCTTTCTGCCAACCAAGGCTTTTTCATGGGAAATTGTATCCTGCCAACCCCATGTGATGTGTTATACCAAATTGTTTTATATCTGAAACCGGGCCTCGTCAATTTCAAGGGCCACAGGTAGTTGAACCAAACACATTAAAAGCACTTAATGCTTAAGAAATTGAGTGATATCCCTCCTTATCACTCCAACCAATCACACCCTATATGTTATATGTTATAAACTATATATTATATAATATATACTATATGTTATAGACTATATACTATATATTATATAATATATACTATATGTTATAGACTATATACTATAAATAATATATACTATATGTTAAATTATAATATATATGTATATACAATATATTATAAATACTATATAGTATAAAAAATCTTGATGTTGAAGGATAAGAATAAATGTAGCGCAAAATTTTCAGCGATAGCCTAGCGCGGCTCAATGGTAACGAGGTGCCCCCAGAGATAACGGACTCACTCGAACCCGGGTTCGCCCACCGCAAGCCGCGCCACCGCCGCCGCACCACCACCTCAACTGCAAATCGAACTCGTCAATTAGGTAAATTGCCTAAAATTTTTTCAATTTTTTCAATAAATACGAATTTTCATAATACGTTTTTAAGTTAGGGTTTCATTAAAATTTGATGTTTTAGAGTGTTAGGGTTGATTAGAATTAGGTGTTTCGATTTAGGGGTTGATTAGGACGTTAGGGTTTCGATTTAGAACTTCAAATTAGGACTCGAAACTCTAATGTTGTTGAAAATGTGAAATTGTGAAATTGTGAACTATTGTGTGTACTATTGTGTGAACTAGTGTGTGAAGTATTGTGTGAAGTTCGATTTTTCGGAATTAGGACTACAAATTGAACTTCGAACTGTGAAATTGTGGACTCGATTAGAATTAGGTGTTTCGCGAGTGTAGCCAAGACCTGAGGCCGTTCAATTTCCATTCTTTCGAGTCGATTAGTTTATTACGGAAGAAGCTAAAATGGAATTTAATTGAGTTGAATTAAATTGAGTTGAGTTGCGAGTTAAATTGAGTTGAATTGCGAGTTATATTGAGCCGATTATTTGATATATTGAGTTGAGAATGAAATTGGGATTTAATTGAGTTGAATTAAATCCTTTGAGTTGCAAGTTATATACATATATGTTCATGTTGGACTCTTGAGCAATATTTTCTAATAAATAACCTTAATCCTAATATTTTTTTTTTATTGTTTGTAGATAAATGGATTCATCGTCCTCCTTACAGCCTCAGCAGTACAGTGTCCATCCCGGTCCGAGGGATGGCACTCTTCTATATCTCCAGTACCGCCACCGGTCGCAGGCGGTATTTGATAATGCGCCGGGAGCTCGTGACACGGCGCTCACAAACTGCCGTTTTGATAGTCAGTTCTAGGCGGCTTTGTCAAGCCAGCCACGGTCGGTTTGGGAGGTCATCGACCGGACTGGTTTCGGACTCTTATTTCGAATGGGTCGAGTCCAAGCCGACAACAGCCTCATTACTGCTCTCGTGGAGAGGTGGCGCCCAGAGACGAATACCTTCCATTTTGATTTCGGCGAGGCCACCATCACGCTCCAGGATGTACAAGTCCTGTTCAGTCTGCCAATCATTGGAGCGGCTGTTGTGGGAGTGACTAGAGATTTATCACCCCTACAGTGGCGAGAGAGGTGCAAGGACTTGCTAGGGTACGAGCCCTATGTTCAGGTATATTTTTTAATAGAATTTTGTTTAAATATATGTCAACTCAATTTTATCGTTTTTAATATGGAAAAACCACTCTCAGGATCCTCCCACCACCGAAAAAGAGCAAGCAGCCCAAGATCCAAAGTCTTGGGACATAAGAGGCCAGTATCTGAATGATGGCGGGTTAGAGGAGGAATGCAACCGTGCGTTGCAAGAAGGACAACCGGACATCGTGTACGAGCAGAGGGCGAGGGTCCTTATCTTCTGTTGCATTGGGTCATTCATCTTCCCCGACCAGCGGGCGAATGGCGTCCCACTTTACTGGCTCGACCTGATGCAGGACATAGATGCTGTTAAGGGGTACAGCTGGGGTTCAGCGCTCCTGGCCGGAGTATACAGAGCGTTGTCAACCTCATACAAGGCCAAGGAGAAGTGGATGAAGAACTGCGTTCAATTGTTCCAGGTAAATTTATTTAATTGTTATTTGAATATTTAATATTTTATTTTTTCTTACTTCGAATAATACCTAATAACAAAACTAATGTCCATTTGTGTAGGTTTGGGCATGAGAGCATATCCCTCGTATTCGCCCAGGAGTCAAGACCAGTAGGTTTGACACTCTGCCTGATTGTCCATTGGGAGCAAGGTAATAACCTTTATTTTTATTTAATCCGTACATTATTTTCATTATCAAATTTTGTGATTACAAACTTTTTTTTTCTCTGATTTTTAAGGTGGGTGGGACCGAAAAAGAGGTCCAACATAGCCAATACATTGGTCGCCTACCGGGATCAGTTGACAGGGCTGGAAGAGTATGATGTAATATTCTTAATTCCTATTATTTGATTTACTGACTAAACTAAAGGATATTCTGTTAGTTGAAAATTTGAAAGCCAATTTATTGAGTGTGAGTCAATTGTGTGATGAAGGACAATGTGAACTTTTATTTGACTGAGTGCACGATATGAGATAATAATGATGTTTGTGTCGTTGCATGCTCACGGTCGGCTTACAACTGCTATCTAGTTGATGTTGGTTCAAAGTTTCACCAAGCACTCACTAATGACACTGACATCAACGTCTAGGTCATATTGACTATTCTCAATTAATAAACTTTTGTAATGTAGGAGTCGTTCGAGGAGTACCAAAACTCTCAAAGAAAGCACATCATGTATGTGGACCTTGTCAAATGGGAAAACAAACACGTGCATGACACAAGATTGTGAAGTAGATCACTTCCAAACAAGTCCTAGAACTACTGTATATGAAACTACTGGGAGCGATACAGGTAGGGAGTTATAATGGCGAGAAGCACATTTTAGTGTGGGTTGATGATTTCTCTCGATCCACCTGGGTGTAATTTATTCGAGAAAAATCTAATTGTGAAGGGAAAATGCTACAAGTACATAATAAATATACATAAAAGTATACATAACACTCACATGGAGTGGAGTCCACTTGAATTTTTTATTTTTGGTAGACCCTACACAATGTGAGTGTTATATACACCCTTATGTACAATGTTATGTACCTATGGCATTTCTCAATGTGATGTCGCTTCGTTGGTTGCTCATCAACTGATTGTATATTCGACGAGGTATTGAGTTAAACCTTATGAGCTCTGGAGAGATAAATCGCCTAATTTCAGTCATGTGCATATGTTTGGTTGCAACTGTTACGTTTATAATGATCGTGAGCAACTTGGAAAGTTTGATGCTAAGAGTGACACTAGTTTTTTTCTTGGGTATTCAAATAACAATCGTGTTTACAGAGTGTATAATACCAGTACTCACACTGCATTCAAATTCTGAATGTCACTTTTGATGAGGTGTCTTCGAATGATAGTTCATCCAATTATGTTGATCTCACTTCTATTGATTCTGATTCCTTTCAAGAAAAAACAGAACACTGGCGTGGCTCCTATTGAGATTAAAAGGGAAGAAATGACTTTAGATGATGGGGGTGAAAGTCCTCAAATTATGTACCAACTCTATTATGAAATATTCCTCAGTCTCCACGCGGATCCACTTGTCAAGATTCAAAAAGATAATCCTTCTAAACAGGTTATTGGTGGGCTAGATGAGATAAAAACTCACGGTGTCAAATCGAATTTTAGAAAAATGATAGGAATCTATTATTTAGCCTGTTATGCATCTTTAGTAGAACCCAAGAATGCGGAAGAAGCCTTGAAGATGAATGTTGGATACAAGCCATGCAAGAGAAGTTAGAACAATTCACTAAAAATAACGTGTGGGAATTAATACCTGAACCAACATCTTGTAATGTGATAGGGGCCAAATGAATCTTTAAAAATAAAACTAATAAAACTGATGAAATTAGTAATATCACTAGGAACAAATGACGCATAGTTTCGCAATGGTATACACAGGCGCAAGGAATTGATTTTGATGAAACAATTGCTCCCGTTGCATATATTATTTTTATGATTACACGCGGAGGGGATTTTTCCTTGCGAGGAGGAGAGTTTTTCACCTCCATTGCAAACCCGTTGCACAAATTATTTTACGATTTGTCGTCAAACTTTATGTATCAGCTTTAATCGATTAGCAGTACACAAATTCCCATACAATATATACTGAAATCATAGCTGCAAACGGTGTAAACTGCATATTCTGCTGTCATTCTAATCTAACATGCTCTACCCCTCAAAACTAACAAGAACAAAGTGAGCCTCTTGGTCACCATTGCCTGTTTTCCACGCAAAGTTTCCTCGTACAAAAATAATGTTTTTCAAAAATCAAAATATTCATAGTCAGTATGCCCATCACCATATCTGTAATCACCATAGGGATCATCAAAGGTTTCGTCATCTTTGATGTAACCAGTATCATGTTCATCCTCATTGTAATTGCCCTCATCAGCTTCTAAGCCCTGACTTGCTCCATCATAAGAACTCCGGGGAACTGTCTGAGCTGTTTCAAGATCTTGATCCTGCAAAGATTATGCATGTAAACATGATATATCCTTGAAAAAGTAAATCTATTATAATATGTACAGAGACAATTTTTAAGATTCATCTGTGCTCTGTGTGTATATTCTAGGTACCTAAAAGCTCTATAAATTTAACAGTATTTGTAGTGTAATACAGAACCCATTTAAGGTCAAGCTACAGGAAATGGAAGAACGAGTGCAATGCCAACCATAGGACACTTAGCAAAATACTTACCGACTCATTTTCTAGGAGTTTCAGAGCATCATAATTAACTCTGGAGCTTGGTTTCTGCATAACAAGCACAAAGGAACAATTAATAGAAAAGAAAATACAATAAGCAGAATATGCAAGTCTCCAAATATAAATATCAATAACTCCACAAAAATGACCCTGCTCAAAAAAACCAACTTTGTGTTCAAGCAAGTCTCAGAACACAGATTCTTACTCTGATCTCCACTTTCTCTGTGGTCTTAGCAGCTTTCTTGACAGAGGCGCCTTTCTTTGTTTGAGTAGTTTTTCTCGCTTTTTTGCCCTGAAACTCATAATCCGATGGAAATCATGTAAAACCACTGCTAAAACTCGAATAGTCTGATGAAATTAAGATAACATGTACACATAAAACTGAGGGTATGCTGAAAATCTTTACTTGTCATTGCATTGAACCAAAGTTTTTGCATGAAAACTGTGACAGAAAACGAGATGTATAAAGAAACAAATTGTACGAGAAAGGAATAAGCTAACTTGTGTATAGTTTCGATTTATTGCTTCCCATAAAGCCCTTTTGTAATCGATCTCCTCCTTGGTGTTGAGGTATCCAACAAGCTGAACAGAAATAAACATAATGTAATGTGTCATAATATGGTTAAGAAAAATTCAACAGTTCGGCATAGCATGCACAAAATTTTAGTAGTACTACTAGACAAATATGGATATACGATAAGAAAAAAATTGGAAATACAGAAAGGACTGATTTTCATATTTACTACCAACAAGCAAGATGAGTTTACAGTGTTGATAGAATTATGACATACCAAAAAATGAAACAAAACAGAACATTTCTTAAGAGAAAGTCACATCGGGTTCTGCAGCTCACCATGAAATTTGGGTGCAATAAGTATACATTTTTCTTTTAGAATAGTCAGAAGAAATCTTGTAAAAATAGCAAATTTACAGAAAGAAGCTATCTTCTATTTGAAGATGAACTAAGCTAATGGTGCATAACACGATAAATATCAAGAACTAGATCAGCATGAGATTTGCATACTATAATTCAATAAGGATACATTTCCTCTTCAGATGATCACATCTTCTATAACCTTATTTAAAAATCAAGAAATGTGATGCATAAAAATGAAAAAGTAAAAACTACCTCAGAGTCATCAATATCAGAAAGGCTATCTTGATTGTCTTTCTTTCTCTTTTTAGTCGGCCTGTAACATTTAACCAATCCACGACTCATGCCCCGGTTTCCCCCTGAAGGGCCAAAAAGTGAATATTCACAATGTAATCTAAAATCAGTAAAATTAAAAAAATAAAAATTAAAAAAAAAAAATGTGTACCTTTATTAGACGCTTTCCTCGGCTGCACGGGTTCACATGAACCTGCATCTTCACTTCCTCGGCAAGAAGGTTCAATTTTTTCCTCCACCTAAAGTAATATAAAGCCATTTTTTTTTTAAAAACCATGTCTATGGAGAAAGCAACACCACCAACATGAAAGCTCATAATTTTGGCATTTTCAATCAGCAGTAAACTAGAAATCGAGAAGCCCCATTACTACACATTATCACATCATTGACGAAAATTAGAGAGAAATAGGTAAAACCTGTTGTTTCGAATTGCCTTGGGACTCGTGCGCTACCGCCATTTGCCTATTTTGTTTTATGCGAAACGCCTGCGAAGGCTGAGCCCCAACCCCCAAGCCGCTATTTATATATAGGTCATGGTTTACGGTTATTTACCAATATAACCCCATAATAAATTTCATTTTGAATCTTGAAATCGTCGTGTATGTCACCTTGCCATAAGGGCATAATAGGATTTTGTGTTTACTAATAGATAGGGCCCATATCAACTGGTAAGAGGGGCCTGATATCTTCTGGGGGCTAAAGGACATAGATGACCACCTTTTAAAACTCATTTCTATAAATAACCTAATTCAACATAATTCCAAAATTACTTAAATGCATTTTGAAATAATATATACGATAACAATGGGAAGTTATATTTCAACAATTAAACCATAATTAACTATTCTCTCTCATCTTTTTTTCTTCTTATTGTCTCTTTTTTTTTCTCTTTTAATGTTTTCTCTCTCTCCTCCCTTTTCTTTTTCTTCTCTCTTCATGTTTTCCCTCTCTTCTCCCTTTTCTTCTTCCTTTTCTTTTCTTCTTCTTTTCAAAATGAATGCCTAAAGAATAGCAACATCAAAAAAATAAAAATAAAAATAAAAAATTAATTAGCTGATTATACACATGCATAACAATTAAATTAACTAAAAAACAACAAAAATATTTATTTTTTTTAACTTAAAATCATAAAAACATACAAGATATTAACAACAAAGCAACATTATAACTTTCGGTAAAACAACATGAAAACAACTTTATATTAACAATAGAAATTTAACAACTTAAAATTGCAATTGCCTTGTTTAGAGCACAACTAAATTATAAACCAAGAGCACACTCCAACATACCATTACAAATATCCACATAATATCATTAAAACAAAATTAGTAGAACAAATCGATTGAAATAAATTTATTGGAAATTTGAAAAGATATATAATTGCAAAACGATAAGGAAAAGAAGGAGAATAGATCATGATTAGAGAAAATGGAAAACACATAATTTCTGTAGAAATTCGAAAGAAAAAAAAAATCTAACAAAAAAATGAAAGTTAAAAAGTGAAAAGACAATTACTTGCCGTTGGGATTTTTTGTAAGGGCGGAGTTGCCGCTGCCGTGGGGTTTCTTCCGAGGAAGAGATGCCGCCACTGCGTGGTTTCTTCCGGCGACCAATCGTCCACCATCTTCAGGAGGTCGGCTGCGCCGGAGGGGCGCACACTGTTAAAGGCAACAGTGNAACGAAACTTCTTAAAAAAAGAAAAAAAGAAAAAAACAGTTATTACCTTTAAAAGAAAAAAAACAGTTATTAGAATACAAAGAACGGACAAAAGAGTATTAATGGAACACCGAATGATGTGTGTCAACTAGGTAAAACATAATTTTAAAAGGTCATAGGGTGTCCTTTATTCATCTTCGGCGATTAGGTACCACCTGATACTGTTAATGGGCTCATTCTAACTGGCCCAATAGAAAATCATTATTCATGCGACTACCAAAATCTTTTCAAATTAGATCAGCCGGGAGAAAGAGAGAGAGCAGTGAAAGCAGTCGGTTAACTTATGGAGCACAATGAAGCAGTGGATGGACTACTGAATCTGTTCTCCAAAGCAAATCGAGACCTTTCAGCAGTCCACAACAAGCTCCACAAGGAATTCAACCAAGTCTACCCCGATCATGTCCGCAATCTCTCACCTTCTCATTTTCCCAAATTTTCAAACCTAATTCTCACCTTCACTGGTTTTTTTCTTGGCTATGTCCGTTTTTACTTTCTCTCTCTCTCTCTTTTGTTTTCGGAGTTTTGCTTTTTGTGAAGAACGATCGCCTAATCTATCACTCACTCATGGGAAATGCTGTATTTTTCTTTTTGGGTGCTTAAGTATCTAGAACCTATCTTTCTTTGTATTATAGCGTTTTTGTGTTCAACAGGCAAACCCAATGAAGCTGGTCTCGAGGTTGAAAAAGATAGAAGAAGAAATGTCGTCGTTGAAGGACCAATGTCGCGAACTTCTTGCTGCAAAACAGGTAACGGAATGTGGAAAATGTGTTGCTATTCATGCCCTAATCTAGTTCGCTCAAAACCAAGTTTTATAGTCGTAATATCGTACATCCTTTATTTTGTGAGGGGTAGAAACAGGATATGAGCTACAGGACTAACTATTGGCGATGTCAATGTATCGAATAGCAATATTTGAACTGCATCATAGCGAATTTCCTTTATTTTTTTGTGAGGTATATATTTGTTTTGGGTGCAAGTTGATAATATAAACGCTTTATATCTGAATAGCTTAGTTTTAAATGGAGTGTTCATCTGTTATTAACCTTTTGTTTTGGATGATTCTGGTTTTCTTGTTTATATTGGGCCTTTGTGTTTCAATTTCATGTTTCACTATTCGATTTGAGCTACTATTATGGTTTCTATTTATATATTTATAAGGCTAATATTCTGTGTGCCTCAAAACAAAATATTGTGCAAAATGATAACCTGCAGGATCTCATCGATAAAGCAAGAACACTCTTGGTTGGAAACAGGACACAGCTGCAGAGATTGCAATCGTCGGCTGGTGTTCCTGTCACGAGTGATGCTGATGATCCTGCTTATGTCAGCTTTAATCAGGTAAATGCGCCTTGTCTAACGCATTAAAATTCCCTTGATTATACCATTTGAAGGATCATATGTTCATTTTTTATATATTTGGAGAACAAAAAGGAAAACACTGAGTAGTCGAGTGCTTATTTATTCGTGAGGGCGTGTGTAAACTGTTTGAGATTGTCGGAAAACAATTTCTCAAGGTTCAACTGGTTGCCTGTTTTCCAAATGGTGTTTCAAGACTTTGCATCATTTGCCAGCAAGCAACCAACATAAAAGTGGCAAGGTCTTGGTTCTCTATATGTCGTGGCCTAAAGTATTTTGCCTTGATGTTTCATATTTGCCTTGCCACAAATTCTAATCTTATGATGGCCATTTCTGAAGAATTTTAGATGAAACTTGGCTTTTATGGATTTTTTTTTTTTTTTCCTTTTCTATTTTTATGTCTTGTGATGCAGGTTATTGATGAGTGGGGAATGCAAGTCAAATCTAAGACAGGTACCTTGTTTGTTGAATCTAATAATGGGCTGTGGTGCTTATAGAATTGCAATTTCGAAATGTGCTGCTCATGGTCATGGGGTTATTGATGACATACATCATATATGAGAAGTCTAAACATGAAAATGTGGAATGTCTGTTGGATATGCGAAATTCATAACAGCAGTAGAGTTACAGTTCAGTTTTATCTTTAGCAGAAACGTTGATGCTACTACATATGCAGAAGTTTACATATTTTTATGGTGGTATTTGATTGTCATCCCCAGTGATTTTTAACGATAAAAAATATTTGTTGTTATGCAGAAAATGAATTGGAGTCGGATTCCAATGATATAAACCAGTTGTTGTTCTCGGCTATTGTCCAAAGCAACTGAACTCAATGGTAGACATGTTTTTGGAGTATCACCATCGAGGACTGACAAAACGTGTTTACTAGTTGTGAAATGTCAATAGCGTAATTTGGGACGCACTATGGATTCTGCGAATATGTTTTAGAAATTATGTATTAGGGATTCTCAGTTGAGGTTGTGTTCCGTACTGCTGTGTATTCTATGTACATTTATTCTTTTGTTAGCCTGTGTGTGTGTGCTGAGTAAACGAGCGTATCACGTTTGTAAACCTCGAGTAAAACCTTAATTATACTGTGTGACAAGTGACAACGGATTTAGGTGTTTGCCAAGTACTCTCTAGTTTGGCATTCCCATACACCAAACAGAGAAGGAAAAACAAGAACCATTCTATCCCAAAGGAAAACAAGAACCATTCTATCCCAAAGGAAAACAAGAACCATTCTATCCCAAATAACGTTAGCGTTAGGTCAAGGGAACATATATTGCTTTATACCCTTTATTTTGGTCTTGCACTAAGGTCTCGTTTGCTTTTTGGGAGGATTGGATTAAATTAGTATATGGTGAATAGATTGTGCTCTGCGGATTAAATGAAAATCGTATTTGTTATTCAGATTGCTGAAAGATATAAATCGAGGATGTGGAGGTTGACTAGTTGGGAGAAGCCAACAGGATTTTGCTGGTGAGGCAATTTTTGGCTCGGTTTAGAGTTTGGAGCTTCTTCAGTTTAATTATTTGAGCTAGGATTTGGTCAACAAGCTGANGCCCAAAGACAGACGAGTAATTTTACGATTCGCTGCTCAAATTACTTTGGTAGAATAGGTGGTCAACAAACGGGGAGGCGAGGGATAACGAACTATATGACCTCTTTCTCAATACAATGGCAAAATGCAATGAGATTAAGGATGATAAAAGGTAAAAATGTAAATTTAACTTCATAAGAGGTGAGGATTTTAGTATTTTAGATCAAATCTGAACTTTCTGATAATTTTAACTATCCCAATCGATTGTGGATTAATTTATCCCATGAGTGTCAGATTCTTTATAAATTCCCGCTCCAATCATGAAGTTTGCAATCAAGGCGAACAAACATCGGATGAGGCTTGGATAAATCCTTCAATTGTATCCGTACTTATCCCATACAAAACAAACCAAGACCTAAATGATATGTCTCAATAATATCGAACTCCAAAATAATAAATTGGTGATGCATTCTACATATTAAATTTTGCAACAAATATATCGGAACCATTCATCTAAAAAAAAAACTCTGAACCATTAACAATAATTAAAAATGGCGGAATTTATATATATATAATTGCTGGCTAATCATATTTAATAAAACATTTAATAAAAAGATTTCAGTTTCCCGCCCAAAGACGTTACAGGGCATGTATATATAGAACTTTTTTTTTTTTTATTTTGCATGGATTATGCTGATTATTTAATATGATTAGGCAGTTACAATCACGTCCATGAATGATAATTAGTTATTTTCTTATTCTTTTTTATTTTTCTCCATGAATGAATACAACACATATACAAATAATTAATACAACACATACAAATAATTATATTTAATAATAAATTAATTGACCACCCCAAAAATAATAAAAAAAAATTACAAATACGTTCTTAATTGACCACCCTTAAGCTTCGATTAGACCTGCAAAAAAAAGTTTAAAAAAAATACAAATCAGTAAACAATATAGGAATGTTATTATTCCATGATTTTAGCACATGATTTATTCATATTTTATTATTAATTGTCAGTTACAAAATATGGAGAGCAATGGAAAATAGTGGCGGGAAAACTGAATTTTAAACTAAATGGAATGAAATTCGAAAGCATTTAAAAATGGACGGGTAATCTAAATCTAAATAAAATTCAAATAAAATTTAAAAGCAATAAAAAAAGCGGCGGGAATAGTCTGTGGGTTGGGTTGTTAGTTATTAAGAACCAAATATCAGTTACAAATTCAGAAATGAAGGAAAAAGAGTAGGGGTGAGCAAAACCGAGCCGAAACCGAAAAACCGAACCGAACCGATGTATTCGGTGCGGTTCGGTTCGGTTTTTTAAGGTTAGGTTTTCGGTGCAGTTAAAATATTGAAAAACCGCACAAATTTTGGGGTGGTTCGGTTTTTTGTCCGGATGATGCGGTTTTAACCGAACTGCACCGAATTTTTTTATTTTTTTATTACAAATATGAAATATGTTAACATGTTTGTATTGTACATATACATGCTCATATTAGGACTTTAGTTTGGGATGACTAACATTAACAATAAATAAGTAAAGTAATAAACAATAACAATAACAATTATAAATTAACAACATTACATTAAAATCTAATTTATTTCCCTAGTTTTTCACTTTCAAATTTTGGGCTTTTGGTTTGGTAAGGTTGCATATAGATGATGATGTAGCTTCATTTTATTTTTGGTTGTTTTTTTTTCTTTTTTTTTTTTTAATTTGCGGTTAACCGAAACCGCACCGCACCGAACCAAAAATTTCGGTGCGGTTTCGGTTCGATTTTTCTATATGTTTCGGTGCGGTTCGGTTTGGGTAAATAACAAATTTCGGTTTTCGGTTTTTTGCGGTTCGGTGCGGTTTTGCACCGAACCGCACCATGCTCACCCCTAAAAAAGAGCGGGATGCGGAAAAGTGAAAGATAATGTGATATATTACAAAAACAAGAGGAGTGATTTTTGCACATAATATTATTAATAAATATTTTATATTAAACTATATGAAATGAAAATGCGAAAGCATTTAAGTGGGCGGGTAATCTAAATCTAAATAAAATTCAAATGAAATTTAAAAACAATAAAAAAAAGCAGCGGGAATAGTCTTTGTGGGTTGGGTTGTTAGTTATTAAGAACCAAATATCAGTTACAAATTCAGAAAGGAAGAAAAAAGAGAGGATGCGAAAAAGTGAAAGATAATGTGATATATTACAAAAATAAGAGGAGTGATTTTTGCACATATTATTATTAATAAATATTTTATATTAAATGTGTCAATGTTATTTTGACCATACTAAGACCATATATATAGGTCCACCATTCATTCACAACCTCATTGCTATTAACCATCCAAACAAAAACACTCTTCCTCCTACGTTTTAGAAAAAACAGCAATGACATCAATCTTTAACAATTTGACCTTCTTGGCCAAAAACAAGAATAAGGCAGTCAGGCTTAGATTGGTCAGAACCTACCCGCGCTTTTATCAGTCGAACAAAGCAAAAATAAGAGGACATGAATTTGTTTTTCATGATGTGAAGGTATACAATTTTTTTACTTCTCTAATATTCAATTATTTTTTACTCGCAGCATTTCTACTGCCATTGCGTTTGACAATCTTCATTAATTTGGTTTTTTTAGGACCAGCGTATACACGGCTGGGCACCCGGATGCTTATCGCAAAAGTTTAAAGAATTTAAACTTCTTGAAAGCAATGTGTACGACATCACAAATTTTGCACTTGTGGAAGACAACAGTGCATTCAAGATAACCAAATCAAGTCACAAGTTGATTTTCTACAAACAAACTAACATGCATGAGATAGTTGATGACGAGTATCCGAGGTTGATGTTCGAGTTCAAGCAATTCAGCGAGCTAACCGACCTCGAAACGATTGATCCTTGCACACCTTTTGGTATTTTTTATTTTGTATTTTTTAAATAATACAAATTATGGTAATCTTATATTATTTACTATTTTTTTTTTTATTTGTAGACATAATTGGCCGTATTGTTTTGTTTCAAAACATACATACAAGAAATTCAAATGGCGGTCAAAAGCGATATGTTGACATTGTTCTTCAAGATGTTGAGTAAGTTATATACACATACAACTTTGGTTTTATTTTAATTTGAGCATTGATATCTTTCATAAATTAATTGTTTATTTTTTTGTACAATGTAGGGGCTGCCACCAAACTTGCACCCTATGGGAATCATGTGCGGAAAAGTTGATAGCCTCCTACAAAAAGTTGGATCCAACGGAATTGAAAATACTCATAATCCAACTTTGCCATACAAAGTCATTTGATGATGGTATATATTATTTTGCCTAATTGCTCCTATTATTATTTTAGATTTATTTTACAATTTTTAATATTGTCCCAACAACATTTATTTTTTGTAGGATCTGGTTTGGTTTTCAACATTTATGATGCTACAAAATTGATAATCAATGGGATCAAGTGCTCTGGCCTTCCGAATCATAAACTGCACCTCAAGGTCGGCACTCCAGTGATGCTTCTCAGAAACATTGATCACTCCATGGGGTTGTGCAACGGTACTGTTCATCAAAATTCAATTTGTCATCTACATTTCCTTTTATCTTTGTACATTTTGAGTGATATGATTTTGTTTTTCGAGTTTTGATGTCAACAGGTACACGGTTGGTAATCACTAAGCTCAGCAGTCATATCCTCGAATGTAGGATTTTAACCGGTGCCAGAGCTGGTGACAAGGTTCTTATTCTTAGGGTCACAATCATACCATCCGATTTGAGGGTACCGTTCAAATTTCAGCGCAGAAAATTTCTGCTCATGGTCTCATATGCTATGACTATCAACAAGAGTCAAGGCCAACCACTGTCCCACGTCGAAATACTATTGAAGAACCCTGTATTCAGTCATGGACAGTTGTATGTGGCACTATCTAGAGTCACGAATCAGAGGGGTCTGAAGATAATGATTTGTGGTGATGGAGATTTTGATGATAGAAAAACAACGAACATTGTATATAAAGAAGTGTTTAATAATATTTAAATTTAGATTTTATTGATTAACTTTTTTCTCAACGATCATGTTATGAATTTTACAATTATTTTATTTTTTTATTTTTTCCTCTATCGTATATTTTTTTCGTGCATGTGCACGGGTCAAAAGCTAGTTTCATGTATCAAATTTGCTCCATAATCCAACCCAATGCTGACTCTGTTTTCCTTCCCTTCTCTCTCTCTCTCTCTCTCTTCTTTTTTTTTTTTTTTTTTTTTTNCAATGAGTCAATGTTGCCTTGGGAAAAAAATGTCCTCTGCGCCGCGGATCACCTTTTCCGTATCATAAGTTAATTTTTTTTGTGTTTGATTCTAAAGTCGATACAATTAGGTCAATATCACTGTTTTGAACACACCTTCAAAGTGGAAAATTAGTGGGCTAAGCCCAACGATAAAAATGTGTGAATGAATAATCCAATCACCGAATCCCTCACCACCGTCCACCGGCTGCAACTGCCATGAACCCACCACAGTCCAACCTCCGGTCATTGCAGTGAACCGACCACCGGCCAGCCACAAATTTAACAAGTCCTGAAAGTTGACATATAGATGCACCATTATTACTGCTATAAAATAGGAAATCTGAAGACTCAAATTGGTAGTACTAATTTATTGTTTACCTCTTGCAATTCAACTCTCTCTCGGTTTCTCTCCGGTTTTACAATATTTTTCTTGTTTTATACATTTTCATTTTATTAAATTAAATATTCAATGACCTATATAAGCTGTTATTAAACACCAAAAGCAGGATGCAACTGCAGTTTGCAAACTTCCCGACCTTGATGCGTGCGTCTCTCAAAAGGGATTTAATTGGAAATCCTTTGGAATATTACAATATTTTGTTCCTTTTAACCATTATTTTAATCATCTCTTGAGTTGTTGGTCACCTCCCTAAAATCCTATCTTTGTGGCCACCAATCCCTCTCCAAATTTCTTCGCTTTTTCCACTCTCTTTGCCATTACTACGAACACTTGACAGACAAAAAGTTTCACTCGGACAAGCAAAACTCCCTTCTTCTCTTCTCTCTCTATCCCTTCACCAATCTTTATCGAGGTCTAATGAAATCCGATTTTCCCAAACGGCCAAATTTGATCTTCAACCAAATCCCACCAAGAAAAAGAGAACACTGAAAACAAAAAAGGAAAAAAAAAAAAGAGTAATTGAATATGCAGTCTTCAGCTGTGAGCCAAGAACCTTCAATACCACTTGGTTTCATATCCCAATTGGGCTCTTTCGCATTCAGCTCGTCCAGTTTAAACCCTGAGCTACAGTCGGCCTATTTGTCCAGCTTTTTGTACTTTGACGCCCTGAAGAAGCCCAAATCTGTGGCCTCGTTGAGCCTGAGAAGTAAAGGCGCCGCGTTTAGCATTACAAGATTTATAAATCAGTTCAATAATGCTGTTAAATTCCATTGCGAGAGAATCCCACTCGGGTTCGCCTTCGACTCAGGGGAGAATAATGGGCGTGCGGATGATGGGAATGGGATTTTGGAGGGCTCAGATGGAGTTTCTGCTAATGCCGTTGTGCCGAATGCCCCGAAAAAGGTTCTGATATTGATGAGCGATACGGGTGGGGGCCACAGAGCTTCTGCCGAGGCCATTAAAGCAGCTTTTAGAGAAGAATTTGGAGATGAATATCAGGTATTGTTTGTTTTGGTAGAATGTGAATAATGCAGCAATTCATGTTTTATCCATATGTTCCGATTTGGTTTCCCTTTTCTTTAGGGGGGTCTTGGGGGTTCAGTTTTATTTCTGACGAGACATATGGTACCTGGTTCTTTAAAGCTTGTACCTTTATCTGGCACAATCAGTCCTGGGGAGAAGAAAGCCAGTGTTTGTTGTTTTCTTCAGTTAGATTAAGAAGAGGAAATTTGAAAGAGTGTCTTGAAAAGGACGGGATTTTGTGATAATTTGTTAATACAAACATTGGGGATTTTGTCCTAAATTTTACTTACTTTCAGGCATTGTAAGGCATGTGTTCTTGTCGAACGTGTTTGATGTGTTAAAAGATGTCTTTTTTATACAGGTTTTTGTTACGGATTTGTGGACAGATCATACTCCTTGGCCCTTTAATCAGCTACCAAAGAGCTATAACTTCCTCGTGAAACACGGTACACTTTGGAAAATGACATATTATGCTACTGCTCCGCGTGTCGTTCACCGAACCAATTTCGCTGCCACCTCAACGTTTATAGCTCGGTAAGTACAATTTGATTTTGCATTTAGTTTAAGGTTCTTGATGCAACTTATAAGATGAATATTGTTGTTGTTTTCATATGAATTCTCAACTAATGGCTAATTGTTCATTATCAAATTTTGACATTCCAGTTGTAACTTCTTTTTCAAAGCAATTATAATTATGTATGAGATCTTTTGCACTAGACCTAACACACCATTCTCACCAAACTATAAATATCTATTACCTTAGGGAGGTCGCAAAAGGGTTGATGAAATACCAGCCAGATATTATTATTAGTGTACATCCTCTAATGCAACATGTTCCACTTCGCATTTTGAGGGCTAAGGGTCTTTTGAAGAAGATTGTTTTTACCACAGTAGTAACAGATCTGTCCACATGTCATCCCACATGGTATGTCCATCGGCAATTTTTCCTTTTCTGATGCTGAAATGCATATTTTGGGGAGTTTTGATATATTACAACTAATCATGTTAGGTTTCACAAGCTTGTAACAAGATGCTATTGCCCATCAGCAGAGGTGGCCAAACGAGCACTGAGAGCTGGTCTTCAGAGGTCTCAAATTAAGGTCTATGGTCTTCCTGTTCGGCCCTCATTCGTGAAGCCTGTCCGCCCTAAGGTTGGTAATTTGTGCCTTTATTATTTTCCTCCCTTTTTCTTGTGTGCTTCCTAGCACAAGTTCTCATAGGATTGTCATATCAAGTTGAATAGTGGGTCATCTAATTAATATACGTTTTGTTTTGTATATTTATATTTTTACTTTCCATTTAATTTGTTTTCCCTTCTTTTTAATATTTTTTGTCTTTTTTTTCCTCTTTCAAATGGAATTCTTGAGTGCGTGACAATAAACACCTATCCTAGATTGATTTGTTGGATCTTTTTGGGTTTACGATATCAATTGTACTCGGAAACTGTTGATAATTTATGTTCATGCTTAATGTATAATGACATTGGTAGACAAATCAATACTGCTTCTTGAATATGTTGTTTGCAGAAATATCAAAATCTTGTATTATGCCCTGTGAAAAGAAAATAGAGAATGTGGTATGAAAAGTGCAACAATCCCAATTTTTGTGTCTCATTGTATTGTGATCAATTTGACATGACCTGGATTAATGTCATTCAATGTATGTATCTGATATGCCTTTTTAAGTTACCAAGTAGTAGACTTTTGAATTTGGAAAATTCACAAGGAGACATCACTCACCCTATTGCATAGTCACTTCATTTGAATGAAGGTTCTAATATAAGGAAACTATATAATAATGTGGTAGGGTGAATTAAGAAAGGAGCTGGGAATGGACGAGCAGCTGCCAGCTGTCTTGCTAATGGGCGGTGGTGAAGGTATGGGCCCCATTGAGGCCACCGCTCGAGCTCTTGGGGATGCATTGTATGATGAAACTCGCGGTCAACCAAATGGTCAGGTTCTTGTTATTTGTGGTCGGAATAAGAAGCTACTTAATAAATTGCAATCACTTGACTGGAAGATCCCTGTTGAGGTAATAGAAAGGGATATTTGCAAATAACACCCTCATTTTCATTGTAATTGTGTATGTAAACTTCACTTCTATTTCAAAAATTACAAATACTGTCATTTTCCTATTGCTTACAGCAAAACTGGTTGTTATGATCCGGAATATCTATGCATGCTGCCTTTTGAGTGTCTAATGTGGCATAGTTTTTTATTTTAAATTTTTAGGTGAAGGGTTTTATCACCAAAATGGAAGAGTGCATGGGTGCTTGTGATTGTATTATAACTAAGGTATATTTATGACCTTTCAACCCCTGGAACACTAAATATTACATCCTATCAGCCATCTAAGACTCTCTCCCTCTCTCTCTCTCTCTCTCTCTCTCTCTCTCTCTCTCTCTCTCTCTCTCTCTCTCTCTCTCTCTTTTTCGAGCAGGCGGGTCCTGGAACAATAGCAGAGGCTATGATTCGTGGTCTCCCTATTATCCTGAATGATTACATTGCTGGACAGGTAATAAGAGCTCCTCGATTTTCAAATATTATGAACTATGTCAATAAACAAAATCCTTTTATGCTTGATAATCATGTGAAGAACCTAAATTCCTAAGCTTTACATGACAAAGGGTGTTTTTTAGTTTTTAGGCTATCTAATTCGTGAAATATTTTTGTTTAAATTATTACTTGCAGGAAGCAGGGAATGTCCCGTATGTTGTCCAAAATGGATGCGGGAAATTCTCAAAGTCCCCAAAAGAGATAGCGAGGATCGTTTCTGAGTGGTTCGGTCCTAAACAAGATGAGCTCATGGTGATGTCAGCAAACGCGCTTCGGCTTGCCAGGCCGGATGCTGTCTTTAAGATTGTGCACGATCTTCATGAGTTGGTTAGGCAAAGAAGCCTCGCGCATCAGTATTGTACCTCGACTTGATCAAAATTATTATCTTGGCAAAAATTTTGCTACTTTATTTTTTGTTTTGTTTTTCTGAGGATATTAGGTTCATTAATTATGATCAGATTTCAGACCATCTGTTGATTGATTCGAGGAGTGCATTAATTTGTGCAAGCTTTGAGATTGCGCGGGGTTATGTTTTTGGTTGCATGCTATGTGGAGGATCTATGCACATTAAGTAATATTTTACCTTCTTTACGTTTTTGGTACCTGGAGTTTTACTTAATTGATTTTTGCCTGAGTTTTTGTCAGTTATTAATTTTTAGTCCATAACGTCAACTTTTTAGTTGAAAACTAATGGAACCGTTTAAGATTAAAATTTGTAATTTATAAAAATGTAATTAAAATTTTATAGTTTATAAAAAATTTGAACTTTTTTGTAAGAGAAGAGGATGAAACTTTGACACTCGTTAGTACGTTCGACCGAAATTGTAGCAATATTGATTTTATTTTATTCTTTATATATGCATATATTTTGGTTGTCGTTGTTTAAATTTCGTAGCTCCTATTATTTGTCAGGCTTATACTATACCAAGTTAACAACATATTAATTATTCGCATAGGATAATTAAGTGGAAGGTACATTGAGGTGAGACCATATCTAATTTTGACCATAGTTACACATTAGAGGTAATTAGCCTAACAATTATTCTCATCATTACAACATTCGGACAGTATACATCACCCAACATTATTTATTTAAAAATAAAGCAGCATGTATGTATTCACATGGGCATTACAAACTTGCCAGCATTGTTCTTAAAGCATCTTCAAACAGGGAAAAAGATGGAAAAATATCATTAACAAAAAGAAAAGCAAAAGAAAATCAAAGGAGAGAGAGAGAGAGAGAGAGAGAGAGAGAGAGTGTAAATTAGTACAAGAAAGACTTCATTCATATTTGAACGAATGACTACAAAATACACTCAACCACCGCTAATAAATTAAAGACAGGAATGATGTGTGTGACAAATTGTTGTGTGAGTGACAAAATGGAGAGCCCTTTGCTCACCCAAGACAAAGAGGAGGACCTCACAAAATCTGCCATGGCAGCATTTCGTGCCAAGGAAGATGAAATCGAGAGGAAGAAAACTGAGATGAGAGGGAAAATTGAAGCTCAGTTGGGACGTGTGGAGGAAGAAGCTAAGCGCCTCACCGGAATTCATGCTGTAAGTCTGCAAATTTATCATTTGCTACTTTTGTGTGTGTGTGTGTGTTTGTTTTCTTTCTTGTTTACTAAAATGTGTTGTATGAGCATAGGATTTCAAGAATTGGGGCTTTGTGGCTATGTAAGAACAAATCAGATCTGAACAAGTGTTTGCTAAATTAGATCTGGACAAGTATTTACTCTCGATTCGTCTCTAGTTGAACGATGAATATTTCTTGACGAGGTGGTTTTGCTGGGTAATTTTTATATTTTCTTTTGTTAAAATTACAGTCTTTACATATGTATAGGAGCTCGATGCTGTTAATGATCCAATGAGGAAAGAAGCTGAAATTATCTGCAAGAAGATTGACCTTATTACTCGAGACTTGAAATCTTTGGGCTTGCACTGTGAGAAGAAGGTACGTACTTCACATTTTCTAGGATTGATTATAAATAAGAGTACTCCTTTTAATGTTAGTCTAAGCCTTTTCTTAAAACATGGAATACTTAATTAGTCTAATTAGAGTGTTTACAATAATTCCTCAGGAAAAAGAGTATAAAGAAGCCGTTGAGGCTTTGAATGAGAAGAACCAGGAAAAGAGTCAGCTGGTTGCCAAATTAGTTGAGGTAATAAAAGCCCATATTTGTTTGGGGAATAAAGTTGAATAATATTTTCCTCCTCTTACCTTGTTTTGTTTTTTCCACTACTTCAGTTGGTGACTGAAAGTGAGAGATTGAGGCTGAAGAAATTGGAAGAGCTTTGCAATGATATATAGAAGAGAACTATTAATTATCTAGGATACTGACTGCAAATTTCAATATTTTTCTGCTTTATCTGGTGTTATTATTGTATTTTCTGGGTTTTTAATTTGTTCTGGTGTTATTATAGTATTTTCTGGGTTTTTAGTCTGTTGGGTTTGATTGTTTCGATCTTGTATTTACGGGTGATTTTCTTTTTCTTTTTGTTTTTCTTTACCCTCTTTTCCCCTTACCTTTTCAATCTTTTATATTTATTTTTTATTTTGTTTGGAAAAGGTCAAGATTGTGGAGATGAGACTGATGTTCTTGTTAATGTTTTCCAGTTAGGACTAAGACCATGTCCAACCGAATACTCCATACTCAAATTCATTTTGCAGTAATTCATCTCCAACCGAAAAACTCATTCTCTAACCCAAAAGAATATTCTCGAAATATTTTCTTTTACATCAACTTTTACAACTTTTAAATACTACCCACATATTTTACAATTTTATAAATTAAACCACACTATTATTTTCAATTCAATTTGGACTTTATGTAATAAACTAAGGCCATCTCCAGCCCTTATATCTACTATAGCGCGGACTTTACTCTACTCTATAGTAGAGTTGAACATTCATCCCAGCCCTTATCTCTACATTTTACTCTACATTAAATATATTATTTTTTTATTTATTTTAAAAATAAATTGTAATAAATTGAATTTCTTAAAGAAGATACATATACATCTATGTACCGATTCAAAACTGTTACTTTTGAAAATATATGAATTAGTGCAAATTTACACACTAGACCATATATGGTTTAGAGCATAAAAAAACAAAAAATTATTTATAGTCATATTATTTGTCAAACTATTTATCACATATTAATATATTACACATTTTGCTCTATCATAAATAATTTTTCAGTATTTTTAAAAAAATATCAACTTTATGCCTACACAAAATATTTATATATATATATAAATATATATATTTTGTTCATTTTTTTTATGCATTTATATTAAAATTTTATATAAAAAATTTCATTAATGAATTTTTACATACTTATATTATAATTTTATATAGAAAAATAACAACTTATAGACAAACCATAAATTTTGATAAATAAACTAAAACTTCATTTTTGAAAATAGAAGGGCCAAAACACAAATAAAAAAAGATTTGCGTATGTGAACAGTACAAACGCAAATATGCAGTTTGGAGGAGAGAGAAACGGATCAAAACTCATTTTGGGTTTACGTTTCGGTACCGGTTGGAGGATTTTTTGGTGATGCGTTTGGGTTTGAGGTACGGTTGGAGTTGGTCTAAGTATATATTTTATCAACTCCTAAACTAATCTTGCTAGAAAGCAAGTTGGGCGTGCGTGATGATGGTTACAGAAAAAGCAGATTGCTTTTTTGAGTTTTTCACTTCTTTTGACTACTAGTGTTGTTTTCGAATTTTCTAATTCTGCGTTTTTGTTGCGCTGGTGTTAAAATGATGTGGATGAATTATAATTATAAAAAATATTCAACATGTATAGAGATAATAAAAAAAAATTAATCGAAAATAAATTATCAATTACACCTTCATTTTTCTGTTCAGTGACTCATTCTTTTTTTTTTTTGTCGGTGCACTTCCTAACAAAATTCTCTCTTTACTCACAACTATCCATACACATATATATATATATAATCATTTATTTTTAGAGCATTTTCTAATTCACTCTTATGGAAATGCTAAGGAGTCTTCCGATGGCTCCGTTATAGAGCCATCGGATCCCATGTGGTATTACATGGGACAAAAAAAGTGTAGATGTGGGCCATATTTTTTTTTTGCCCATGTGATGCCACATGGACATGGGATCGATGGCTCCATAATGGAGCCATCGGATGGCTCCTTAGCATTTTTGTTCACTCTTATACTCCTTTTCAATTTCAAGTTCAGTAAATTATCCATATTCATAATTTTCTTCCATTTCACTCCCTCTCACTTGCATTAAAATATGAGAATAGAACTTGATTTGTAAGTATTGTGTCATAATATGGTCTAAATTTTTAATTTTTTAATTGAAGGTTTCACTTTTAAGTTATTCTCAATATAAGACATAATTTTACATTCTACTTTCCATTTAAGACTCCAAATCACTTTGTATTTTGACATAATTATGTAAACCACTATACTTTTGTTTTAAAATTTATTATTGAAGTTCTTATAATGAAATATATTAAATACAACAACAACAACAACAACAACATACCCAGTATATTCCCAACAGGTTGGGGTCTGGGGGGTCAGTTGTACGCAGACCTTACCCTTGTAATTATACAAGGAGGCTGTTTCCGTGGCGACCCAAGGTGCATTGCGCCGTTTGATATATTTTTTTTTTCTAGAAACTTCACGAAGAAGCACTAGAATTTAATTGAACCATTTTGATCTATTCCATTATTAGCACTATGCCAGGAGAATTGTCAACAATGACTCTTCCAGCTCCATTTGCAATGGACAACAATGAAATATATTAAATATCTTACTAAAATTACCTAAATAAGATAATTATTCATATTTTATGTTCATGCAAAAGCTTGATGAAAATTATTTTAAAAGTTAAAAAATAAATTTTAACTTAATTTTAATCTAAATATATGATAACATTAAATAATAAACTACTTAGAAAATAATTTTTTTTAAAAATAAAATTATAGAGAATATTATGCGTAATTAAAATTCATACTTTTGAAAAAATTAATAATAATATATAAAATTAATACCTATAATAAAAGTATTAAATATATTTGTAAAACTAGCTTCATACGAAAATTAAAATAAGTGCATTTATGCAAAATTAATTTAGATCAATGAACTATTTTGTAAATATATTAGTTCTAAAAGTATTAAATATATTTGTAAATCTAGCTTCGTACTAACATTAGCTCTTAATTTGGTTTATATATTAGTTCTCCATTTTGGTTTATAATTAGCTCATATATTAAAACCAGCTCATACTAAAGTAAGAGTATTTTGGTTTATATATTAGCTCAAATATAAATTAATTTAGCTAAAAGTATTTAATTTTACTTATGTAAAAATAATATTTATAATTATTTAAAATATAAATTTCAAAATAATAGTATTTTAGTTTGTATATTTATGTAAAAATATATAGTTAGTTTGTGTCTTAAATTGAGAACTAAAATGTAAAAGTAAGTCTTTAAATTGGGAATAATTTAATATTGAAACACTCAAATGAAAAGGTTGAAAATACATGTCCTATTATGACACAATAACAAAAAGTCAAGCCCTACAATAATTTTTTTTCGTTTAATAAATTACTCAACTGTTTAAATTTTTTGATTTGGATAATTTATACAAAAATAAATTTATTTTAATTAACAAAACAATATGAATTTTAATATCATACTTATGATTCATATAGATTTTTAAATGTATGATAAAATTTTACTGAAATAATTATATTATGGAACCACGTTGTATTCTAATCAAATTTCTTAATAAAAAATTTAAAATGACACTTATTTTGAAATGAATATAATGTAATTTATTATCAGTTATGTGCATCATACCAGTTGTGTACTAATTTTAAATAGAAATGTTTTATGTAATTTTTCTAAATTTAAATTTTATGTAACATTTTAAAAAAATTAATATTGGTAAATTGTCTTACATATTGATTCTATAATATTAATTTATAAATATTATTTAATAAACATTTATAATTTACAAATATTAATAAATATCTCTTACTGTGCATCTCTGTTCTAAAAGTCGGTCGGCTGAAAAAATTGGCCAGGCGGCTAGGCGACGCCTAGGTGGACCTAGGCGCTCCTAGACGGGCTTGACGGGCTCGACGGCCAAGCGGCTTGGCGCACCTAGTAGGCGCCACCTAGGCGCTTCTAGGCGGGCTCGGCGATTTTTTTTTAATTTTTTAATTTTATTTAAATATTAATTACATTATTTTATGATCATATTTTCTTTATAATATATTAATATTATTATTTGGACTTAGGTTTGTCGATTCAGTATAATTTTAGATAGTTTTATTTTGTATGTAGTGAAAATAAATATAAAATAAGGTATTTAATCTTGATTTCTAAGCCCCACCTAGACGCTAAGAGCTGATCGCCTAGAGACTTCTAGAACACACTACTGACCGTTTCATGGGCTCAATTTGTAAGCCCAAATCTCTAAATGCTTGGCCCAATGTATACGTCCATCACGTCGCCGGAGCTTTACGGTCATAAAGGCGGAGGAGAGCCTTTGGAAATTGGAACACAACAATGGAAACTAAATACACGCCCCAAGAGCAATTAGCGCAAACGAACTCCAATTCGATGCCGAATTTGAAGACCAAGATTTTGGTTATAATGGGCGCCACTGGTTCAGGCAAATCCAAGCTAGCCATAGACCTTGCTTCACACTTCCCCATTGAAATCATCAACGCTGATTCCATGCAGGTAATTCACATACATACAAATTTCCTTGTCAAAAGTGTTTGAACAAACCCTAGTGGGGTTTTAGATATTGATGATTGGAATTTTATGGTTAGGTTTACAAAGGATTGGATGTTCTCACCAATAAAGTTCCCCTTCATGAGCGTAAAGGTCGCTGCTTTCTGTCCTTGTACTGTTCTGTTATTGGTTATTTCCTTTTGTGCGCTGGCTTTTTCTGTGGTGCTGGAATTTTTGAGCTGTGGGTTTATTGTTGTTGGTGATCGTAGTAATGTTTATTCTCTTGATAGGAATCCCTCATCATCTGCTGGGCACAATTAGCCCAAATGTCGAATATACTGCTAAAGATTTCCGGGATTCTGCCATTCCGGTGAGATAAAATTGAAATTATTGCTATGATACCAATGGCACTTAAATCTCTCTGTCTCTCATAACACACTCTCGCACAAATTTATGATCATTTATTTGTGTTGATGCATAAACAGTGTGAAATTAGTTTAAATAACTTTTGTCTTCAAATAGTTTATGAAGTGTTATGTGTATATAATATGTGCAGATATCTTACCATTCCCTCTCTGTTCCATTTTATTATTTGTTGGTCTTTTGGCTTGTAATATTTTTATTTTCAGCTTATCAATGAGATTTGGTCTCGCAATCGCTTGCCTGTTATAGTTGGTGGAACAAATTACTATATCCAGGTAAGGTGTTGTATTAGTTTATTGCTACAATTAATTTCATTAAATTTCTGCTAGTTGTAGCTTTCTGTTGGGCCAGTGGGGAGTAGGCTTGTAAACAAATCAAATTTTTTTGATTCGATTCGATATTCGAATTCGATATTCGTGATTCGAATTCGAATTCGAATACGAATAATATTTTATATTCGAAAGTTAAACGAATCTGAATTCGAATTTGTAGATATTCGATTCGAAATTCGAATATTCGATTCGTTAACAATAATTATATAAATTTTATAAATTATATATAGTATACATTTTGTTTATAATAATATGTATATATATATATATATTGCTATATTCCTACTATTTTTATGACATAAAAAGTAAAAACATCATAAATTAACAAATTTTCCTAAAAATATATGAAAAATAAAAATTATTTTTTGTAATTATAATATTTTTTAAATATAATTTTTTTTTAAAACGAATTTCGAATCGAATCGAATATGTTTGAATATTCTAAACGAATCGAATACGAATCAAAAAATGAGTTCGTTAACGAATCGAATACGAATACGAATCTTCGAATATTTTAACGAATCCGAATCGAATCTTTGAGTATTCGCTTTGATTCGATTCGTTTACAACCCTGGTGGGGAGCCATGGAAGTCTGAAAGGCACTGTGTGGTTCTTTCTTCTTTAAAGCTCGTACAACTCTTTTCAATTGCATTTTTTGTGATTCATCGAGTTTATCTCAGCAGATAAAATACCATTGTCATTTTGTCAGGCTCTTGTTAGTCGGTTCCTATTGGATGATCATGCAGAATATCTCGAAGAAGATTGCTCACCGGATATTCCTGGTAAAAATTGGAAAAACGAAAAAGAAAATTACATTTTTCTTAAAGATGTTCTGAGCTGATGTTTAGGCAATCAGCTGCAAGACTAACATGTTTCCAATCTATATAGTGGATAATGAGGAAGCCGATTTTCAACTTGGCCCGTCGAACGAAAATTGTGATTACACTTATAGTCGTCTGAAAGACCTTGATCCTGTGGCAGCTAACAGAATTCACCCGAATGATCAAAGGAAGGTGAGATACTTGGACTCTCATTGTTTTTTCTTTTTTTTTTTTGGGGGGGGGGGGGGGGGGGGG